CTATATATATATATATATATATATAAAAGTATAATTACAATATATACTTACACAATTTAAAAGTATAGTGTTAATTTGTGTGCACATTTGACAAATCTGATTAAAATAAATACTAATTAGTATAATACTAATTATCTAATTAGTAATAATTATATATAATTTATAATCCTATATAATGTGTGTGTATAAAGACTCTAAAATTAAAGCAAAGATTGTTATATTGATATAACATATGCACTATTGTGACACTACCATGAATTCAGAGAACTTCTAGAAACATGGTACTGTCATGAGGGTACAGTGCATGTCATGACGATAGTAGTGTTTGTGTATATAAAATAATAACACCATGCATTTAGTTCTCTGGAAAAACGTTGCTAAAAGATTTACTGACAGAACTTGCCATTAATGTTAGATACTACATTCTCAGTATTTGAATAATTTTATTAATCTCGTTTTGAAAATACTTGGGTTTAATCTTTTACAAGCTTCCGCCTTAAGCATACAATACTACTAGTTTCTTGTTACTGGACAAGTATCGTGCATTAAGTACAGCACAGGGTGTTCAAAACAACTCGCGTGTATTTGCTGTACAGACGGTGCTGTGAACATCTTCAGCACGCGATGACACATACATAGCTATAATCTGTCAAAAATCGAATCTCAGGCGATCTGAAAGAATAGCTAACAACACAGAACAGCTGTTACATGAAACAGAACATTCACGATGAAAATGTTACAACGTAACATTCCATTTTCTAATGTAAATATTTATTTTTGTTCATATACAATGTCTTACCGACTGCACAGCTGCTGAGGACTGCTTTCCGGCAAACTCATGATCTTCAGCTGAAACTTCTGTTCTTCATGCAGGTAGCAGCAGCTCAGGCTGTGAATCAGGTGTGTGAGAAACTGTACAAGACCCACCCATTACACACGGCACTGCTGCCTTCTCTTAAAAAAGTGGTTAAAACACTGAAAATGGTTCTTAAACAGTTTAATTCAACAGTCCACTGACAAAAAGGGCTTTAAACGGTGTTTTATTGTAGACATGTACCATTGTAGTACAATGTAAATACCATTGTATACAAATATGGTAATTACTCAGCACCATGATACTCAGCACTTTTACAGGAAGGTTTGTTTTGTTCATATACAATGTCTTACCGACTGCACAGCTGCTGAGGACTGCTTTCCGGCAAACTCATGATCTTCAGCTGAAACTTCTGTTCTTCATGCAGGTAGCAGCAGCTCAGGCTGTGAATCAGGTGTGTGAGAAACTGTACAAGACCCACCCATTACACACGGCACTGCTGCCTTCTCTTAAAAAAGTGGTTAAAACACTGAAAATGGTTCTTAAACAGTTTAATTCAACAGTCCACTGACAAAAAGGGCTTTAAACGGTGTTTTATTTTAGACATGTACCATTGTAGTACAATGTAAATACCATTGTATACAAATATGGTAATCACTCAGCACCATGATACTCAGCACTTTTACAGGAAGGTTTGTTTCAGGTTAAGAATGGCCATTAAACAGAACGCAACTTAAGACCTCTAGAGCAGTGGCTCTCTAAAGGGACATAAAGATGACTTCAAATAATTAAAATTAAAAGACAAAACAAGCATAACTTTTTTTTTTTTTTTAATCAAGATTTCTTTAATTTAACTTCATTTTAAAAGTGCTATTTCCAAACTTAAAACAGCTCTAAAACATTCAATCTGATAGAAATTGTGGTTGAATATAAATATGTAATGTACATATGTGTGTGCACATATATCTGTCTCATACCCCCCATTATGTTGCGATTTCATTACAATTAAACACTCTGCAGCTGCTTTATAACTTAAGTAGATCAATAAAATAAGTTGTTTTAAGCAGTTGTCACATCTGACATTGTCAAAGCTTCTACTGTTAACATGACCTACAGGATGACATTGACTTCCAACTGCATTCTGCTGCTCACGGTTATGTTTAACATCTTCAGGTAAATCACTCTCAAATGTGTTAAAAGCTACTAAAACTTCCATGTACTGCAATCATAACATCTTTAAAACAGCACTGCTCATTTGAAGTGAATGAAAACACAATATTTCCCCATTTCTCATTTTATTTATTTTTTTTATACAGAAAAGTATGTCTTCCATCAATGATCGTCAACCTGGAAGAGACAAAAACATCTTGTTAGAAAAAAAGCAAAAAAAAAAAAAAAAAGCATCAAAGAAAACTAGTCAGCAAGGAAAAACCCTTCTCAGACAAATGCCTCTACATCTTCAATCTAAGAGGACACGTGATCTCTGAGGAACTGAAGTCTGACGCACAGAACGTGAGCCTGAGCCAGAATCCTCAGAAACTGGCCTCGATCCGACTCGTCATCGTATCATCACTGAAGGGAACGTGGAGGTCAGTTTGGGGTTTTTAAGTCTTACCCCTTTATGGGGTTGACACTGGGGCTCCCTGTGGCATGGCTGGGACCTCGGGCTTGGCCCCCTTCTGTTCGGACACCGGGGTGGTGGGCAGGACCTCGTCTTTGGGCTCCACGATGCTGACGTGGTCAGGCAGGGGCTTCTTGGGGCCGATCTTGCCACTGGGATCCCAGGGAAGCATGATTTTCACCTTGATTCCAAGCACACCTATATGAAGACAATCACAGGGACACATTACAAAACTAGATAAGACGAGAACTAGTCAGCAAGAAAAAAAAAAAAAACCCTTCTCAGACAAATGCCTCTACATCTTCAATCTAAGAGGACACGTGATCTCTGAGGAACTGAAGTCAGACGCACAGAACGTGAGCCTGAGCCAGAATCCTCAGAGACGGGCCTCGATCCGACTCGTCATCGTATCATCACTGAAGGGAACGTGGAGGTCAGCTGACCGACAGAATCACAAGGATATATTAACGGTGACTAGGAATCAGTAGAACACCATCCCATTTGAGTTTCCCCACACGTTTGAAAGCATGCATTCAGAAGCTTCTCAGACTAACACATCTATACCATCACACTGCTCTGAGGAGCCAGAACTGGACTCTTCCGAAACAACCCAACTCTGGTTCAGTATATAGTCACTGAAGGGAAGATATATATGCTTCTGAAATTAAATTTGGATCAATGGTTAGTTACTCAATACGTTAGACAACTGAGGTGCCATGCTAAACCTTATAGTTTTATATGGCAACAGGTTTGCACATTAAAATCCAAGTATTTGAGACGATACACATTTCTGTTCCCAGACTTTCTGATTTGATTTCAATTTGAGTCACAAGCTCTCGATTCAATATAAACTCATTGAAAAAGGTTTGTTTCAACTATGTTCCCATCTTACTGCAATAGCGATTAAAATCAGTGCGTAAAATAAAAGATTTTCAATCTTTTAGATGCCAAAGACAACAAATATTTAAAATCTGTCTATATAGTTTTTTTTATAAAGACCTATCTTGCACTTAAAATTAATATTACAAATATGTCTAAAATATTTGGAAATTATTTAGTGTAGCAAGTTAAATTATAAATATATTTTAAGTATTCTACATTACTTTTTCTAATTATAAAATTCAGTTTTTTTTATTTTTACACTAATACACTTTGCTCAAGATTTGACGAATGAAAATCCATAGTACTCATGAATATTACGTCTAAAATAATTTGAAAAATATAGTTTCTATTAAGTTACGCTGTTGTTTTCTATTTATAGAACTGTAACACTAACTCTTTATTTAATCCATTTTTTTTAGTTTCTCTAAACATTTTCACAGACCCCCTTGCAAAATAATGCAATAATTGACTCAATATTTGACAGACTCCTGAATATCTGAAATCATTTTTAAACATTTTGGTTTAACTTGCATTTTATTCTACTCAGAGTATTGAACTGTTAAACACTGTATTCTCATTACATTTTTTTTTACAGTTTCTCTAAACATTTCCACCATTAAAATGCAACAATTTGCTTAAGATCTGACAAATTCATAGTGCTTATGAATATTATGTCTAAAATTATTAATATTTAGAAAATATGTAGTTTGAGCTTTTACATTTTACCTACTTCTAGTACTGTATTTCTGTACTCATTTTAATCCATTTTTATAATTTCCCACACTTTTTCTCTAAACATTTCCACAGATGTGATTCAGTTTTTTTTATTTTTACACTAATACACTTTGCTCAAGATTTGACAAATGAAAATCCATAGTACTCATGAATATTACGTCTAAAATAATTTGAAAAATATAGTTTCTATTAAGTTACGCTGTTGTTTTCTATTTATAGAACTGTAACACTAACTCTTTATTTAATCCATTTTTTTTAGTTTCTCTAAACATTTTCACAGACCCCCTTGCAAAATAATGCAATAATTGACTCAATATTTGACAGACTCCTGAATATCTGAAATCATTTTTAAACATTTTGGTTTAACTTGCATTTTATTCTACTCAGAGTATTGAACTGTTAAACACTGTATTCTCATTACATTTTTTTTTACAGTTTCTCTAAACATTTCCACCATTAAAATGCAACAATTTGCTTAAGATCTGACAAATTCATAGTGCTTATGAATATTATGTCTAAAATTATTAATATTTAGAAAATATGTAGTTTGAGTTTTTACATTTTACCTACTTCTAGTACTGTATTTCTGTACTCATTTTAATCCATTTTTATAATTTCCCACACTTTTTTTCTAAACATTTCCACAGATGTGAATGTGACAATCTGCTAAAGATCCGACACAAATTCAATTTCCAGAGAACCATCAGTCCATTTAATCTTACTCACCCTGTCGGAGCAGTACGTGGCGAACAGCAGTGTCGACGTAATAGTTAACGGGGTCTCCGCTGTGGATCATCAGGCCATCCACAAACTTCATGGATTTGGCTCTCTGACCTCTCAGTTTACCAGAAACAACCACCTCACAACCCTTGGCCCCACTCTCCATGATGAAGCGCAGAACACCGTAGCAGGCCCTGAGAAGAACAAGCATTATATCCAAATCAAAAAGACACAGGAAAAAGAAAAGAAAAATAATCTGGATTCCAAAGAAAACACGCTGCCTGCTTTCCATCCATCCTTCTCAGACAAATGCCTCTATGTCTTCAAGCAAACAGGACTCACTGCTTCGAGGACCTGAAGTCAGACGCACAGAACGTGAGCCTGACCCAGAATCCTCAAAGACAGAACCGGCCCCATTCCGACTCGTCATCGTATCATCACTGAAGGGAATTTCAGTCTGTAACCCCATGCCCAGCCCAATGCATGCTGGGAAGTGAACGCTCACCTACGGACAGCCAGTCCTCCGAGCAGCTTGTAGCGCAGAGACTCTGCCTGAGCGATGGCGCAGAGACCGCGGGTGGCCACCTTCTCAGCGTACAGCTACGATGAAACAACCCAATACTTAAGAACATGCCAGCACAAACTACTGTTGGACCCCATTCACACCTGTATTTAGCACTAATCTTACCTCCACATTGCCTTCAGGGAAGCCGAATCGTTTCTGAACGACGGCAGTCAGTTCACGAATGCGGCGGCCTTTCTCTCCCAGGACGTTCTGGGTCCTGAAAAGACAAAAGGATAAAGTTATTACACTTGAGTTATGCTTGAGTTAACTGTAGGGATGTGCCAATCCGATACTCAGTATCGGTATCAGCTCCGATACTGCCATTTGTGCAAAATTGTGCACTCATGATTTTTTCTAGAGTAACTTTTGCTGCTGAATTATCCACGAACCTAGTTTACAACAATATTTTTGTCATAAATTATGTATATACATTTTCATTTGCTATGTTTCTTTAAAATTAAGTTTAAAGAAGATTTAAACCATATTTAGTAGATTGTGTTTAAAGGTGGGGTAAGCGATTTTTCAAAATCGCTTTAGAAAACTGATTCGGGCCGAATAGCAAAACAAACTTGTAGCCAATCAGCAGTGGAGAGAGCGTTCAGTCTGAGCCGAGCGACAGAAACTAGAGATGGCGGATTAAAAAAAAAGGGAAACCGTCTGCGGAACAACCGAAGGCTTAAGGCAAGAGGTAGGACCCGTGTAAATATCGTATCAGCTTTCCAGCACTGGAGAGCACTCATGGAGCGGAAGGCCTGCAATCGGACGCCGAGGTTGCTTTGTTTCTATTTCAAATATCAACATTGGCTACCAGAAATCACTTACCCCACCTTTAACACACAAAAGAGTGATGATCAGGTCAACAAACAAACATTGAAGTATAGAAAATCTACACTGATTTAAAAAAAAAAAAAACTGTGCTGGTATCAGATCGGTAACGTATCGGCAGATACTCGGAACTTCTGGTATAGGATCGATTCTGGAAAAATGGTATTGGTGCATCCCTAGTTAACCCATGTCAATGGTTTAAATGCACGTTAAACATGTAAAGTAATGGAAATAAACTCAAATGCATGTAAGCAGTGCACACCTGGTGGCTAGGATGATGATTTCTGTTCTTGTTGGCGTGACACGGACCTCCACACCGGAGTACCCGTCCTCAGCCAGCTCTCGGGTCAGAAACTCGTTCAGCTCGGCTTTGAAGATGCCATCTGACACAAACTGATAGAGAAACATTAAAGCGATTAAGGTCTTCTGATGCAGAAATAAAACGTGCGTGTTATATGAACAGTAACATCTTGCTTTCAATATTAAATGCCACAAATGTCAATCAAAAATGACAAAACTGACACTATATGCAGAATAACACATGTACAAATGCTTATATAGTTAACAATATATTAGGGATGTAACGGTATGAAAATTTCTTATCACGATTATAGTGACCAAAATGATCACGGTTATCAGTATTATCACAGTATTGTTAAAATGTGTTGGAAATGTTCAAAAAGTACTGACATAAATCATTTCACCAAGTTTTACATTTAAAATCAACAAACAACAACTAAAATGAGTTTTTGTTTGCATAACTAAAATAAAAATGATTGCAAAATGCACCCATTTGGTCGCACACTGGAGCCCTGTGCAGTACGGTATTTATCCTCAGTTGTTCAAATCGCGGTAATCGAATACGGTTATAGTGATAATTAAAATATGAAACGATACTAACCGTGGGGTATTTTATCACGATTTATCGTCTAACAGGTAATCGTTACATCCCTACAATATATAGTCCAGTGTCAATTTTGTGCAGTACGGTATTTATCCTCAGTTGTTCAAATTGCGGTAATCGAATACGGTTATAGTGATAATTAAAATATGAAACGATAATACTAACCGTGGGGTATTTTATCACGATTTACCGTCGAACAGGTAATCGTTACATCCCTACAATATATAGTCCAGTGTCAATTTCCAGCAGTCATACTAACGCCAACAGAACTTACTTAAATATCACTTCTGTTTTGTATTATATATATATA